AAGATGAAGACATCGGGTTGATGATAACCGTAATAAACTTTGTCTGAAAATAATATACGTAGATACATGGATGCTTGGTTAGCGTGTCTTCACTGGTACTGCGGTGCCCAGCACAATTTCTAATCGTTCTCTCTCGCGCAGTTGTTGCTCATAGTGATGGTCTGCTTCGAACATGGTGACGTCCGCGAGACCCCTTCCGTAATCATTAAATCGTTGCCATCTACGAATGCAGATGGGTGACATTAGCAAAGAACACGTCCGTCCATCGTTTGGGTGGTCATCCAAGTGGACGCTTGGATTCTCTAGGAGTCCACTCCACTTTCCTTTTCTTCCATCTTTCATCTGTTTTTATTACTATGTGAACAGCCTGCGTTTCGCTATTGATGTATATTTTTCTGTATCTTGAAGATGAAAAAGGTTTCAAATATCTGGGCTACGTATTCCTTATAGACGTTATGAGTGCCGGTTAAATTTCAGAAGTCATCGTTCAAGTCTGTGGGTGGTGCGCAGATTTCTTGACGTGGTTGAAGTATCATCACACGTTTCAACTCGATAATAGAGCACTGTGAAGGTTGCTGTATAGATAGTGAAGTTGCTCGTTTGTGCTATATTTTATGCCATACGGATCTTTTCGATTGTTATTGTAGCACTAGATCTCAAAGTAGAGTAACTAAACCGCTTATGTAACGATAATAACACAATAACTTCTATGATGCTGAGTTATTTGCAAAATCCGGACCGCAGGTGTCTGCGGTGGGGAACGAACCCGCTATTACCATTTCCGGGGGCTGACGCGTTCACCACTACACCATGCGGATCCTTCGTTTTGTCAGTCTCTCTGCTAGTTCTATCGATCACTTCCATCAGCAATCACTCGTCGGCGAGATTGATCTGGAGATCCCAAATCGCCAATGAACCCACTTGAGCTAAAGCTGTGGTTTATAATCACAATCTTAACCTTTTTATTTAATGCCTACTCTTTTTGATAGCAGGGTATATTTCGCAACATGCCCGCCATTAAAAACAGTAGGCAGTAAATAAAGAGGTTAAGATTGTGATAATAACACAATAGTAACGAGATGGCGATAATGAGACCTTAAATGTAAGAAATATAATGAGTAACGTGGCCAGGAGGTAGAGATACTATAGGGTGCAATAAGGAGCATTAGTATTGCCAAAATACCCTATATAATAGTGTTATAGTGAGATGATGGTGAACTAATGTTACCACACTTTACTCCCCGGAAAGGATAATAGCGCGTTCGTCTCCCACTGTAGGCACCTGCGGTCCGGGGTTTTGCAATTATCTCGGCATAGAAGTTATACCACACTTGTTGGCCCGGGAGTATGGTCGGGCGGGTGTGGGATAAGATATTGTAATGCACCCACGGATCGATAGCGGATCTACGGATCTGCGGATCGGTGGAAGCTAAGAGATAGCTAGACTTGGCTGAGGATTATTAAGTAGACACACAGAGCGCAACAATAAAGAAAAATGGGTGTACATATAATATACAGGTAATTGAAGTGCTAGCTCGAGAAGGGAAGTTGCAAAACACTGTGGAATAGGAGCGCAGCCATGAAATGCAGCTTGTAGCGGCGATTTTATTTATGCTAGGAAAGATCAGCATAGTAGTAGTACTAACTATTCGGGGAATGATTATTATACTCCACCCGACCTAAGATAACAATTTAGGTTCCGTGCAAAGCTTAAGAAGTGAATAATTGGAATAAGCTCACAGCATGTGCTTGACAAGGGATGGAAGATGGCAATCTACGACTTGTTAGTTTACAAAAAATTTTTGAGGGCGAGGGCAGTATGTGCTTTTTGGAGGAGGCTGTGTGGAAACATCGGTCGAAGTCCCTCTCGTCGGGCAGTTTGCTGAATTGATTGTGTGGTATTCATTGGAGAAATAGTATAAAGAGCTATCCAGAAATAGAGTACGAGAGATGTAGTTGTATGCAGTAGAATTAAGTAAGTTGTGCCGGATATTACATGTGTGAATTTGGGGAATTGTGCTGGAATAGATAGCGGACCGCGTATTAGTACACAGTAGAATAAATAGTTAGTGTGCGACGTTCTCCCCATTGGTTGGGCCTCGCCTCTTTCAAATGATATGGATGCTCCGTGTCGCGGATCCAATGGAAGTGCATCTTGCAGATTTTTTGAGATCTCGTATACTGGAGGTTTTTGAGCTGGTTCCAATAACTTTTTCCACCTATACCGATGTAAATTCTTCCACAAAGCCCTTCTACAACTGGCACTTATTACCAACCGTGTTCGGTGTTTTGCAATAAGACCAAGCTTCAGTGTGGTCTTTTCGAGCAATCTCTCACTGGTAATGGAGATACGTGCTGAAGGTCTTGTTTGAAGGACCGAGGCAAGTTCGCCACAAGTTTTGAGTCCGTCGATAAGCAGCGTGTAGTCCTCGGTCGGGTCTTCACTTCCCTCCCAGTCTATGAGGAGAGGATTTTATTGAGAACATCCTCATCATACATGGTTGCTTTAGTTTTTCTTGGACGGTAGCAGGATATCTTTTCCAGTTCTTGGCCAAATCGAATCTCCTCACGGAGAAGGCGGTGACCAGAGCCAGTACAGGATTTGAATACTACTGAGTTATCAAAGAGGCACCATTTTCTCTTCGTGAGAATATTGTCGATCTCCGCATAAGTCTTGGAGGAGGAGATCCCCATGTGCATAGGCAATCTTCTCTCTTCTCGAAAAATGAATTTTATGGATGTGCGCCAAAGCCGCCTCTGACATTCCGTAACGTAAATTTCCCTCTACAAAAGACACAGGTTCCGTTATCTAGTCGTCGTACGTCGGTTTCTTGCTTTTCGTCTGTTGTAGGGCCATCCTTCTGTTTACCGCTTAATCGTGGTGGAGAGGTGCTCTTGGGTGTTGAGCTGCGGTATACACCGGGAGGATTCTTTCTCCCGGAAGGGTCTCTTAAGCTGAGAAGGAGTCCCGCGTTTCCACCAGAAAGCCTGGCTCAGAGTGAACCAATACTAGAATCCACCGCCGTCCTAGTATCAAGCTAATCGCATGGTGGCAAATCTCCCTCTGATCTACAAGGGAGGCGACCGCCTATGATGGCGGCGACCTGGCGCAGGCTTTGGCCAGGCTAATCGCAAGACTCCTGTGAACCGCAATGGCCAAACCAGAAAAACTCCAAAAAGTTGGAAATTGTGCTGTGGCCTGCACAAGCAGTGAAAACGTACCATTGTGCTATCCAATGAGTAAGGCGACGTATCGAATTTGGTGCAATCAGCGGCTTCAAGAATAACGTAAAGATCGATTTCTGAGGAGAATGTTCTGGTGGCACATGAGCAGAGCAAGGAGCAGTCTTCATGGCGTGTCATGGGTGTGCTCGCTTGATCCTTTTTCAATTACGTCCTGTTCAACTCCAGATTTTATCGCACCTCACCGGTTGTTTCACCACCCACCCCCGCAAACGAGAGCACTACTAGGTGGGGTACAGAGGTTGTAATTTTGCTGTTTTAGCCATTGTGAATTCTTGGAATTCTGAGGTCAGGCTTGCTGAAGCCTTCCTTAAGTCGTCAGCTCCCCAGGTAATCACCGCCCTTTCATATAAAATCGGCTATTTGTAGTTATGAGGTGATAGAAAGTAGAAAGTAGTTATAAGTATATATACTATGTATGTATATACTGTGGATTACCTAATAAGAGTGGATTTTTTCACCTGACCAGAGTTCACATCTACTGTGTGGATACCAGCACTTTCATATAATTCAATTCTTCACTTTCATCATCCATAACAGTCTTCGAACCTTTTGTAATAGGTTTGACTCTTTCCTGTGGTCTTCTCCTTTTTTATGGTCGTTGGTGGATGGTGGTCAAGGAATTCTATCAAGAATCCTGGAATAACGGTGCTAGGGCGCCTTTATATGTATTTAGGAGAGTTGGCTGGCCTCAGACAAACCTGGCACAAATTTCCCGACCCTGGAAGGACGTACGGCATAGTGAGCTCGGAGAGGGATCGAACAATCACTGTACTCAGGTTCAATAGGACTGCTAACACTGCAATTATTGCGGTGCAATATTATTCTTGTTCACCATGAACTGTTAATTTCTTGTCACAGTTAACCTATAAAATTGACAAAAACGGATTTTTTTCCCTGTTAAGTTCGATTGTTTATTCTGCGATGATTAGAATTTGGTGTCATTATCCTGTTTTCGAATCTGTGGTGTATTGGAAGAGCTTTCCCAAGCAAAATTGATCGTTGATTTGTTTTAAAATCTCCTCTACAGTCTTCATCACTTGGTTAACAGTCTTTATAAGACCGAGCAATTAATTATGCAATTACCCTAGTCAAAGTCTGCCCTGGTCTTCACCGTCACAAGTAATCGCCGTCCTTGTGTATGAGGGAGATTTGCCACAATGCGACTAGTTCGATATCAGGGAGATTTGCCATCATGCGACTAGCTTGATACTAGGACGCTGGCGGATCCTGATATTCATTTACTCCTAGATGGACTTTCTGATGGAAACGCCAGCTCCCTTCTCAGCTTAGGAGACCCTGGTACAAGGATGAATCCCCCCGTTGTACATTACAGTCCTACACTCAAGAACATCTCGCAGCGGTAATGAGGTGGTAAACCGTTGGAAGGATTGCTGTAATAAAGAAAACGAAAACAAAAAAGAGTATTTAAGAAATTCACTGATCATCCTGTAAGTGTCGCGTAAAGCCGAATAGATTCATTTTCTCATGGAAAATAGATCTTCCATATATAAACATCAAGCACTTATATCGTATGGAATCATTGGTATGTATTAAGAAGTAATCATACATAAATTCTTATATGCACTTTTCATCTGAGAGTTGAAACTGAGAGTTTCTCTGGTATTCACCGGTGGAATATAAGATCAGTGGATTTTCAACAAATAAGTAAGGAAAGAAATGTAGTAATTTAGCGAACTATACAACTGTAAACTACCACAATATAAAATACCCGCCAAAGGTTGCCTGTTCTGGTTTTAGAATCGGTCTTCCAACACTGTTTCTTTACTAAGTGATGTACTGAAGTCCACACTTTTCAATTCGGCTTGTGACGTTTCAGTCAGTGGTACGAGTTCACGCTCTAGTCCATCGTTAGGTTTTTGTTGTCTCTCTTCATCAACTAGCGAAAGTCCTCTAGCCCAGTAGATTACCCATATGTCGGATAGAAGTGCGATGAGACACAGGCTACCATAAATAACATTCAACCTGAAAACGTAGCTGTTGTGTTCATAACATTTCGGATTTAAGGATTAAGCTCACGGCGTAGATCAATCCTTGAAGGATGCATTCGACTTCATTAAGCATCGTTTGGAGGTAATTGAATGAATATTTGGCCTTTACAATGACTCGCCGTAGCTTACCGATGTATCGAACCAGTGCTGCTATCCTCCCAGACTAGTCTGGTACTAATTTTCCGACTCCGGAGGGATGGAAAGCTAGGTGGGCCATGGGCGTGGGTGCCGATTCCACGGTGTGTTGCAGGGCGCCTCCGACTGCTGCGCCACACGCGACGTATTGGTTTCTCATAATTTTAACTTAGCTTGTAAATGAATTCCTTTAAAGTGTTCAGGTTTAACTTTATACTTTTATGATGAGCAATCCATTTTAGAGAATATGAATAGCAAATATTGGATTGGTTGCCTAGTTCCTTTCTGATTCCGAGAGACTATACCGTATTCTTTTTGGCTTTACACCGAAAATACCATTATTTTTTGTGACTTGGCTTTTAATATGTTAACAACTGACATACCGTATTCGAAGCCAATCAGTATCATAAATTGCACAGGCGCCAGTTTTATTGCATAGATTTTGCCACATTATGCAGCTCATGTCGAATATCTTACCCCAAAACACAGGTGATGGAAGTGTGGCTGAAAATACAACTTAGAAAGGCAGGCAGTATCCTCAATTTTTTTATTTCAACACTTTTTTTAAACCAAGGCTATATGTCTAAAATATTCTAGTAAGCAAAACCAACGTTGACGAAAAAGAAAACCGCTATATTAGCTTTAAAAACACCGGATAAAATTTATTCAGTTAAGTCAGTAGATTAACAGCTTATATCGAATCGATCTAGGAAATCAAAATCATTAACAAATATCACATTGAATGAATATGCGACAGCATTACAGCTTACAAGTATGCAAGCGTTATGAGATCCATTTTGCGAGTTTGAATGAATTCTCTCACAATTCTTTCATGTCTACCGAAGCAGAACTCATGTGGATTGGAGGGAAGCTTGCTTCCTTTCAAGCAACTTCATTTGATAACAACGTCCAATCGTGGTGTTGAATTATTCTTAGTTAGGACAGGACACGGGATGGAGTGGTCTCGTTCACCGGCATTGAGGGCTATATTTGATCATTACAAAACCGGGAAAACCATTGAGAGATAGTCAAAGGGGCAGAGGAAACAACTAGACAAATGTGTGGATGCCGATTGGTAAATTGCAGATGTTTTAGGATTTCACCGTTGGTTTCAATCAGTAGTTAGGGTAAGTAATGGAAGTGCCCATGGTTATAAAAAGTCAATGTTAACGAAGTCGATTAAAGATCTGAACTCAGAACTCACCAAACAAGCTGACGAGGAAGCCGTTAAAACCGAGGGAAATGCTACGATGTTCAGGTGGCACTGACCTGAAGAGTTTTTCAAAAGCATGGAAAAAAATTAACTCTTGCGAAATATGAGGGTATTCAGGATTCATAAAATTCAACAAAGCATCGATCAAAAAACAATACGTTATGATATCAAGTAATGGTGGACATCTCTAGAAGAAAACGTTCGAAAGCAACTTAACCTTGGATATAATTCTTTCTCGGCCTTGCATAGGATATCATGTAGGATTGGGACACAGCCAGCATAAGCCTACATATTTTTGCAAAAAGCAAAATTATGGGTTAGTTAATTTTTTTTTCAACCACCAATAGGCCAGCAGTTGGCCGTAATCAAGCCTCATCAGAAGTGAGAAATTCACATACCTAAGTACGATAAGCATTCCTGGTACAACAGACAAACCACCAAACAAGGCTCCGACTGCTTTATTTATGAAGAAAGTAAAGAATTGACTATTGCAGTGTTCTAAATAGAAAACCCATTTATAAGAAAAACTGTTAAATGAAGACTATTGCGATACAGAGTACGGTATACATCATCACAAATGGTGATACCGTACACCAGGATTGAAATAACTAACCAATTGGACAGTAATCTCTGCTAACCATCAGATCCTCCGTACCGGAGCACTCACATTCAGTGAACGCTAACAGTGCACCCTTATCAACCTGTAATGTATTATTAGAACTTGGAGAAAAAGTAGGTGAATATTCCAAAGTATTCATTCTTGTGCTTTTAACATCAATCTCCGTCTGGAAACCATCCGTGATAAGTTTGATTAAACTTCGGTGTTGAAATACTAGTTTATACTATAGCTCTACTTCTTAGAAAATAGGAGCTATTCTCCATAAAGAAAAGTAGTAAACGATTTATGGCAAGGCCTTGAAAACATGTAGATTACTTGGAAGTTGCAGATCGTGCGTGCGGCGCAGTGGTGCGCCTGAAACACACACGTGGAATCGATCTTCGCACCCATGACCCACCAAGCCTTCTATCATTCCGGAGTCGGAAAATTGATACCAGACTTGTCTGGGAGGATAGCAGCACTGGCTCGATAAATCAGTAGGCCACCGTGAGTCATTTTAAAGGCCCGATAAGCGTTCGATCACCTCCAAACGATTTCTAATGGTTGAATGCATGGCGCATCCCTCAGAGATTGATCAACGCCGAGAGCTTCATCCTTTCTTGACCGTAGATCGAACTGTAGTGTTGGTAATTAGTGCCGTGTACAGAATAATTTGCACACTTTGTGTGGTTGAGTCACCAATTTTTGAATTCGGGCATGTTTACTTGTTATGATTGGGTCAGAATTGTTTGGTTGGGCAGATTTATTCACTGCAGTAAAATCTCATTTAGAAACGAAGCTCGTTTTCAGTATCCTAGGGCATGCAGCACGCATTTTTTCCATAACCCACTAAACTTCCATGCGTTCTATTAGAAACGTGGGACTCGTCGCACGCTATAAACCCCAACTAGAATTGGGAATATACCTACAGAGGCGATTCCAGGGACCCATTGTCCATTGCTGGCAGAGATAATTAATGAAACTAAGCGAAGTCACACATAGCTGTGCTCTACTATTGTTAGTTGTACACTGGTCTGTAGATATGGATGGATGATTCGAAATGGTGTTCTAATTTTGAAGCCGAATGACGAAGACTCTTGTAGAGGATAACTTCAAAGTTAATCAACTAGAACGCAGTAGTTAGCTATTCAACATAGAAGAGAGAAAGAACTTTTAATGTCAAATTGATGAGATGTCGGAAGATCTTAATAGTTCTGCAAAAAGTCATTAAAAATATATTTAAGTCTTATTAGTCACTAAAAATAATCGCCAAAATAATAACTGTTAAAGAATTACCACTCACTACAGACAAAACATGAAAGCAAGTAAAGTAAAGTAGTTGTCAAAATTATACCAAATATGGCCGTAAACTCGAACCTTATTGAAAATGCTGAAGTTCGCTCCGCTTAGCGGACAACCGGCCTGACAAGGGGAGTAGAAGGCTTCCCCTCTAAAAAGTTCTGCTTTTTCAGTATATTTCTTATTGCGGTATGACTTTATATGCAGCTATTCTTTAGTACTGTTTCAGTTTTAGAGGTTTAAAAAAGTACATTTCATGGAATGAATTCTCTGTCCGAACGAATTGTGCACAGTATTCTAAAGCCACTCACTATTCCAAGAATTCTTAAGCGATTTTGGTTCAAGCCTCCCCAAGAAAGCAAAAAACCTGCTTAAACTGACAATGAAAACGCTTACTTTGTATTGCATACTGGATAGAATGGCATTCCATCGCATTTGCAGTCCGAACGACATGATGGGAAAGTAAAGTTGTTCATCCTGAAATATAAGGATAGTTCTATTATAGAAAGCTAAGGCATTAAGTGAGTAACAAAATCAGTCCGGCGCTCTTCAAAATAGTGCTTTAACAAATTTCCTAACTTTTATTGAGTGGGAGAGTAAAGGAAAAGAGTGCACTTTGGAAAGAATTACCAGAATGGCAAATTTCTAGAAAGAATGTCTGATATCCTACAACACCAAATTAAGATGCACAATTTATAGCGTTTCAGAGATAAATCTTCATGACATGCCATTCCTTCCCTTACTTTTCCAATCAACAGAAGATATGGTGGACCATCAGAATATTAGCTGTATCACCTGCAATCCACTTATTCATTAAGTGGCTTAAGCGAGTGCCCTCAAAATCTCCATTAATGAGCAAAGCTGTTCAGTGACTCTTTCGAGGAACATTAATAGCATCAAATGATATGATGCTTTATCACTAGCATTTCCACTGATGAAAATCTATGTAATTAGCTGGAGCTTGCGGTGACAGGAATTCGTTCCTTGCTGGATATCCGGAAAGAAACGTCGAAGTCCATTTTTGCGTAGGTGTGAATCTCCCACTGAACATTGCAGTTCGTCATGTAGGATCACCACGGGTACATACATGTGGTATATGAAAAATGTACGACTTAAGTAGTGCAGAAGCTTCATTATACAGATGGTCCTTGGTTCGAACTCGTGCTAGGCCAATCACATCACCTATTACTCCAGAATAAGCGAGTCGGTACTTTAAAATATGGAATTAGACTTACACTGCTTGATCACCGATCTGACCAATGACAGATTTACAGCCGACAGCAGCGTTAGCAAATGACATCAGTGCGGAAACAAGTGAACAGACTGCTACCCAAGTCGCTGCTTTTCGTCCTGAATATTCAATCTTTCTATGCTTTCCAAGTGTTTTTGAAAAAAATATTTTGGTGATATATGACGTTCATATAGTGTAATAATTAATTATTTACCTACTTGAAAGTGACTAGATTAAGTAAGTAGTTCTTTCTATTTTTTAGACTTTTTGTTATTCTAGAATACATAAACACTTGAACGGCCAGTCCTCAATGGTTGTGCGGGCCCCTGAATAGCCTCCATTCTTCGGAGTTTTGTTGGTTTAGCCATTGAGGATCCCTAGAGTTTCGAGGTCCGCCTGGCCAAAGTCTGCCCCAGGTCGTCATCACTACAGGTGGCCGCCGCCTTTGTGGAACAGAGAGATTTGCCACTATGCGACTAGTTTGTTACCAAGACGGTAGTGGATCCTGGTATTGGTTCACCCTTGGCTAGGCTTGCTCATGGAAACGCCGGACTCCTTTTTAGCTTACCCTATCGGGGGGATGAATTCCACGCTGTAGATCGCAGTCTGACACTCAGGAACACCTCCCAGTCACGATAAGACGGTAAACCGTTGGGAGGCTTCTAGATTCCAGAATATTGTTGTGTTTAATATTTAAACTCTGGAGCAAGTAACAAACAAAGTTTGAACAAAGGTTTGTTGTAGTAGTCCTTAAAATCGAAGAAAATTTCACGTACAGACGTATTACAAATCCAAGGAACAAAGTATAAAATTTATGAATTCATATGGTGTAATTACTCAGACAAAAAGTGACGTCATATCTTATTTATTGCTTTATTATCGTAAATGATAGCGGAGAGCCGAAAAGTGAACAAAAAACGCTGACTGAAGGACTCGTTATCACTAAATTTATTGAACAAATAATGAGCTTAAGCTTAATCAGGATTACTGTGAAGCAGCATCCGAACATTGTCTGATTCATTTGACTTCGATAACTTGGAATTCTAGGTGGTACTTAGTAGTTAGGACCATTATTTTGTCGTCGGCTACTATGATACATACTATGCAGTGACAATTTTGAAAAGTTGCATTTATTTGTTCTATCACAACTTAGCCACTAAGGTCGGATTGTTTGCTTTACTAAAACTTTCTGCGCTTTCTATTTCAAACAATATAAAGAAAAACACAACCACAACAATCCCGTTGACGGGTGATTGCTGGCGGCAATGATCGTTAGGAAACTAGCTGAAAGACAAGCGAAGCGAAGGACGAGCGTTGGGGTGACGGTGAACGTGTCAGCCCTCGTAAAGGAAATAGCGCGCTCGTTCCCCACAACAGACACCTGCGGTCCGGAGTTTTGGCAAATATCTCAGCATCATCACCGCTGTATTTCGCATTATACCGTACCGTGAAAAATTGTAATATGCAGCAAATAAAAATTTAGCACAAAGAAAAATATTCACACCTTGAAGCCGAAATGTTCTCGTTGCAAGACTACCGAGGACAACACCGAATGCGAATCCACCAACGCCTGTGGCGGCTGTAAGCTCAATTTAATCAACATCATAGATGAAGTTTCCGTTGACTTTATAATCAGTGCCATTATTCAGTGATAAGGCATCCAAGCAAGGAAGTGTTTAGTTATGTAGGATGAGCGGTTCGAAATTTTTTATTTATTATGGCACTATGAGGAAAAGGGTAAGAACTCTAACGGAAATCAAGCACTCTAGCAGTGCAACATGGTATGGACGGAAGGTGTTCGAGTTTCCTATCGTCCTCATTAAGGAAAGTTCCCGTTCGACGATAAAACTACGAAAATTGTGAACACCTGAGAGGATTCTTACATATTTGCTGAGTTAATGGGTGAGGAAGTGAAGTCACACCTATATTATTTGATTGCGATAAGAATCAATGTCACTTGCAAAACTGCAAGGTGTTCTCGTCTGTTGATATCACGCTTCATTTTAGAACCCACCGATGTACTTTTGAATTCGATGTTGCGGCACTCCGAATTGAAGTTCGAGGTATTTTCCAATGAATAGGAAGAATCTAAACATGAAATTGTATTGCTTATTAAATATACACTCCAGTAATTGAAAGCCAGACTTATGGTGTCAAACATGAAGATTCATATCGGCTGGAATCTAGGAACACTGGATTCGCTAACGTCGTTAACTGATAGTAGTAAGTGCACAAGTTGGAGGTGGCCTATGATAATCAGTTCTTTATCACTGACTTACCCTTTAAATGCTAGCACATCAAGGATTCTTCCAAGTATTGCTCCAACATAGATCGGATTACGAAACAACATACGAACGATGGAAAAGAATTCTGAATGGAAGTAGATTTCGAAGAGCTTTGTTTTCAACTCACTGAAGGTTAAAGTAGCCAAAATGATTGTTTTCTGTTCTCTTAAAAGCTTGAACAAGGTTATTATTATACTTTCTAATCACGAATGTTGACTATTGGCAGATTTCGCCACTTTCGGACCCTGGAAAGGTCAATTTGACCGAAAATCTATTCAGCTAAATACCACCTTAACCACAACACAGAAATTACGAAACCTAAATTTCAATGGCACAAGAAACAAAGTAGTTCTTCACACTCACTCAAGAAAATGGCTCTCATTTAACATTTCAGAAAGAATCGGTACCTACCGTCAATTTTTTCCTTCGTTGTGACATGGTCAGCGTGAATTTTTACATGTTTGTCGCGAAGATTCAGGGTTTTCTTAGGCTTTGGTGATCTAAAACAGGTTTGAAAAAAATTATCCCTTATATCATGATATCTTGGAGATGATAGAATAGCCAAAAGTTTCGGTGTTGATCAATGTGTTTGTGAAGCATTACCTACTCCAATTACAAAATGTCTATGCCTACAGAATGACCTTGGACCACCAGTTATTGTGAAAAGAAATACCTTCCCCTTTGTTGTAGTGGAGTAAGGGAACCTCTAGGGATAAAGTTGTTGTGACAAATGACAACCTGTCGGCAAAACAACAATATAATACCGTTCTTGAGCTGGCAGTGTTATGCGTTATGGCGTGGCATTGCTCGGTTTGAAGCTATAAAAGAGTAAAGCATAAAGCGCTTGGTGTTGAACAATCCTTAACGGACGCGCTAAGTATTCAACTTCATTGAGCATTGCAGAAGAAATTGAATGCATATCTAGGCTAACATATTGATGTACCAGCAGGGCACTGTTCTCCCAGACAAGTCTGCTACCAGTCTGCCGACCCTGGAAAAATGTTAAAATTGACGAGCCATCCGACGGGAGAGATCGAACCCGTCACCGATCCACAATGGATTACAAGGCACCCTTACCCTTGTTAATAGAACGATAAGATCTATTATTGGATATTTTAGAGCACACGGGACAAACCAACCCAACAGTTTTCAATTATTAGCGCAAAAAGATGCTTCAGATATGAGCCCATATTTCCCATCGAGGTTTTCTTGGTGGTTCCGAAATTTCAAAAAAATATTTGTGCTTGTTAACACTTACGCGTCTCCACTAAGTGGAAGTTTTGTTATCGAAATTGCATCGTCTTCGTCAAGAGTATCCGATGGAAAAAGAAAGAGTGCCAGTGAAGGGAAGAATAAAAGGGCGCTGAAAATAGTACAAACTAAACTCTTCTAAAAGTAATACCAGTGACGATATTGTCAAGGGCGACGATTCTACTCAAGTACAAATATGCTGTACCCAAAGATAAGAAATCCGAGCCACCAGCATCCAATCCACATCGGATCAAGAGGAGTAAGACCGTGAGGAGCTGCAACACCAATTTAGTAAGCTCAAATTATAAAATTTAAAAAACACGGCAAAAGATAAACAATCACAAAAAACGGTGATGTTGACATATTTGCAGAGTCTCCGCACCGCAAGTTTCTGTGATGGGGATCGAACACGCTTCTACCTTCTCCGTGGGCTAACGCGTTTACCACCACACCATGCTGGTCTTTCGTTTCGCATTTCTCTCAACTAGTTTTCTATCTACCACTGCCATCAGTAGTCACTCGTCAACGGAATTAATCTGGTGAGCACAAATCGGCCAGTTCATCGGAGACTGCAGTCAAAATCACAATGTTCACCTTTTACTTATAGCCTACAGTAATTTTTCACGGCAAGATATTATGTGAAATGCAACCACATGACATTAAGATATTTGTAAGGCTCCACACCGCAAGAATCTGCGGTGGATGAAAGATTAAAGGCGAAACGAAGGACTCGCAGGGTGTAGTGGTGAACGTGTTAGCTCCCACAAAGGGTAGTAGCGCGTTCAACCCTCACCGCAGGCATCTGCGGTCCGCAGTTTTGCGAATATCTCAGCATCATTGTGATTGCATTTTACAAGTTGCGTGGAAGATTACAGTAGGTAGTAAATAAAGGCCTCGTGCTTGCTAAACAGGGATGTAAAGTAATTAAAGCGATGACATTACAATCACAAAACAACCACGAGATTGCCGAGACGTTTGCGAAACTCCGCAAAACTCCAGACCGTTGGTGTCTGCGGTGAGGAACGAACGCGCTAATGCCCTTTCCAGTGAGTAACGCGTTCACCACCACACTATGCGGGTCCTATAGAACTAATTGAGAAACAAGGGAAATGAAGGTTCTTCATGGTATAGTGGTGAACACATTACTTCCCGGAAAAGACATTTGCGCGTTCGTTCCCCACCGCAGACAGCTGCGGTCCGGAGTTTTGCAAATATCTCAGCAATCTTGTGATTGTATTTCGATTAATACCCTGCCATAAAAATTGTAGAAGGCAAAAAATAAAAAGTAAACATTGGAAATCACAAAACAATTTATTTTTCCTTTTAATTAGGGGTTGAACAAAGTTCTGGTCTCTTTCTCGACCAAATCAAGAGCTTGTAAAGTGTCCCTTCATTTTTTTCCAGTGATTAAATAACTCATTTCTTACGGTTTGAAATAACAACGTCACAACGTCACTGTCAACTTCGACTCTTTTCTTTTTTCTGTTTGAAAGTTAGTTGATATTTACTATTTAGATCCACTTACGATCAAATGTGTAGTAGATTTGGTTAAGTTTACTGCCAACCAACAGTCCAATAAGTGGCCCAACGATCTTCGCAAAGAACATGAACGCTGAAATTTTTTAATGAACGACACTTCAAAAACATAAAATGCTTTCTTCCATTGTTTTGTTTGAATGATGCCGTGCCATAATATAGCGGTAGATTGTTTTTCTTCACGTTATCGTCCATCAACGGTAAACCAAGTGAAAATGGCATTGTTCTGGAAATGAGAACATATTCTACTGTAGGGATACATAATACAACACATAAATTGAACTCTTTTTGCGACCGATTTTGGGACAACTTAGAGGAAGAACCAGCAGCTGACTCTTTTTATTACCTCCCAACTCCTAGAAGCATCAGTCCACCGAAGATCATCATAAACGGACCGAAATTTGAGGTGTCCCTCTTGCACTCGTCGGTTTTGTGCTGAACATATGGTTACGACGATTTACTTACGACAATGGGAACACTTATTAATGGAACAAAGAAAAAGGTTTAAATCATTATTTAATGACGTTGACACACGGAACGAAATATCTGTTCCTTTTTATGCCTTTATGCCCTCGAGTTGGCTTAATTCCTTATCACAACCTGAAGAAAAAGTGGTGTAGCATTGCTGTGCTGTGATTTTATAATGTCGTCATCGGTGGCTTGCTATATTATATCGTAGTCAGCCAATAGTTTGGTCGATTAATCGTACAGAAAGTGCAAGAATCCCAGTGGGGAAACACAAAGCTCCGTACGATCGACGATCGAGCGGGACCGATGGCTACCACGTGACAAGTCGAACTTAAATCGTTAGCCGGTGTTTCGCTCTGATCCATGAAGGCCAGGGTGCCCCTTTGTTGACGAATTAGGAAAACCCTAGCATTGTGACATCTTTACTCTGGAAGTAATGCTCAATAAATATTCAATATGATAAGGAGGGGATAATGTAGTAGATTTGAGAGATGTTTGGGTAGTAGCCGTAACCACATGCTAACCCGACAGTAATATGGATGGCGAGATGGCGACAGTGGTGAGACGACGAAACGAGTGGAAGAATCTTGAGGTTTTCATAAGATGTGAAAAGGGTTCACCTATATAGAGAGCTACTTTATCCACTTAGTTTCCTTGATAGAGAATTAATTGGATGCGAAACGAAACGTTGCTGTCTGAAGTCTTAGTAGGTGAAATGGTGCAGAATTGCTTCCGTTATTATGTCCCAATAGTGGCTATACAAGATTTTAATAGCACCAATTTTATGTACACTTGGGTGAAACAGCGGCATGATTATATGTTAAATGTGACATTTTCATTTTATTTTACATGACTCCTTTTCCATCTATTGCGCGGATTACAACCAGTTCTTAGATTTGATTCGTTTCCTCACGGTCATCGTTCTCGAGGGTCTTCGAACTTGTTCTTGTGGGTTTAGATGCCACTTTAGGATATTTATCTTCGATACAAATGTGATTGAATGCTAATCTAGTCGGTTCTCTCTGGAGATCTGCTATAACCATGCAACAGCACTCTCACACGAATTGCCCCGGAGATAAGGATGGCTTGATTGGCACGGAACGGGGTCAAACTTATATCGTGGTCGAGGCGAAAGGCAAAAGTGCTACTGCGCTACCAATCTCGTAATATGATTTTACGAAAGAAAGCGAAGCTATTTTAAAAAATAGTTGAAAAATATTGAAATTTTTCTGAAACGTCATGGTCTATCTCATCGGTCTTATAGATCCCTGCAAAACTCACATCTTGACGTAGTCTATTAATGACATGGTGGCAAAACGTGAACGGTAACGAAGTAAGTACACGTGCTGCTACGACATCATTTTCGTTGACGGCGTGTTCCATAGAAATAAGGTTCTAAAATGATGCATCAACCTTATTAGTCTTGTCAACTAGACACATCAGCTGAAAGGATTTGTGAAAAATATGAAAGAATGACTCTACTTGACATTTTTCTAAGCGTCTCGCAGCAAAGACAAATCACAGGATGAAGCGTTCGAGCTGATATAGCCTCTAGGAATCTGTTATGTATTCGTCACCGTTTAAATGTCACGCTGTTAAGGATAATAGAGGTGATCGAATGCGCATTTGGCCTATACGACAGGCAACTAACCAACATATGAAACTAGTATTTTCATCCTCCAAGCTTACCCCGGAAAGAGTATTTAGCTTGCTCATGACGTGGGACTAAAGCAAAGATTAGGTGAGTATTGGAGGGTATATCTAACCGTAGCGTTACGTGAGCCATCGATAGGTCAGCACTGAAACCATAGGCAGTAATACTCTATGTGTGGTGCTGTGGAGGGGATGAATTAATGGGATGAAAAAGAACAAAAAGCTTTATGTATTCTTTCCTAGGTGTGGATTCAGAGAATAGGTTTTTTATGTCATTTACGCCATTTCAGCCCGCATACGTATAATTTAGTTATATATATATATATATAAACATTACATAGAATGCATATGAGTTTTGCTTCCAGCCTGGACACCAATCAAGCCGAAATGAGTAAAGTGACTGACGAGTGCACAGGACATCTTTAAGGTCTTTACTGACAATTAGTCGCACACCTATGCTGACACAGATCAACCGTCATCAGAACTTGGTGATCTGCCTGTGAAAGTCGTATCGAAAAACATCCACGAGTTTACCGAAAAGGTTTCGTGTGAAAATTGTGCGACCACAAGCGATTAGGGCCCATTAGAAAACTTTTATAATCTCACCTCCATTTTTGAACATATTTCCGATGTGGGATTGTAGAAACAGAAGGATTGGTACTTTACAAACTCTTCATTCTCCGTATGATATGGGCCTATCTGAAATTTTCACTCTTATTTTTGCTAGACAATTTTTAACCAGCAAAGGACTTAGAATCTGTAGATGAGACCACGGCAAAGAAGTCATTAGAAGACTAAAAAATATCATGTTGCAATAACAATTCTACCAGACTAGTTAAGCCAAATATTTACATGGAAACCAACATAAGTGCTAAGAGCCGTATCGTTTGGGTCGATCATTTTCAGTGTTCTGTGAAACCAATCGCGATCCGCGGAGACATTTAGTTTGAACCTTAAAAATGCAATTATTATAGGAAATTTTGGGTTAAGACAACCGTTTTTGTTTTTTTCTGGTCTTTGTATGTTTTTTCCCAGTGCCACTAGAATTTACATTGAACTAAGAACACTAAGAACCGATATTTTATAAAAAGCTCATCTTAGTTTAATCACCCAAGAACCTATTTGGTACTAATTTTGAGTAGTTAGAAATCGTGTAGTGCGATGAGGAGAGTTTACAGGCATTCGATTAATGGCTCGGTCTGAAACGGGATCTTGACGTACCACATAAATATGGTCAAAATGTTCCACAATATCATGGTTTCAATTTTAGTCACAACGAAAAAGAGAAACGCAAAAAGTAGCGGAAAAGTTTGAAAAAGGAAAGTTTGCTCTGCCAAATAATTCCTACTTAGAAGAGAGGAAAAAACATTACATTAAAACCTTTGGATCTACTATACTGAGCAGCTCATTTTTCACTACTTGGCTACAGCCTCAGCTTAACTGCGTTCATTACCGATTTGGGCTCCTCAGATCAATCCCGTTGACGGGTGATTGCTGATGGCACTGATCGACAGTTCTAGCTGAGAGAGAGGCGAAACGAAAGAACTGCATGGTGCGGTGGTGAACGTGTTAGTCTCTGGTAAGGGTAATAGCGTGTTCGTTTTCCACCGCAGACACCTGCGGTCCATATATATCCATATTTTGCATATATCTCAGCATCATTGTGGAACAATTTTTTTTTCGAAAATGAGAAGAAAAACTGTACTAATACCCTGACTGATAACAGAGCGATGGCGGTCATCGATTTATAACGCTTTTGTGATTTGTTTTCAGGTTATCGGTAATTGATAAGTACCATCGAGTTTTTGATATGATTATAAAGATATACACTTCCAGTCTCTTAAAAAAGCGATACTGCCGAATTGTCAGCTTTACCGGAATGAAGAATAAGTCAACACTTCGTATTTGCTCAACAGGAATATAGAGAATGACTAGGAAGAACTTTATCACTTAACTGCTCTACTATCGTTAGGAATCAGTTATTTTAATCATATTCCTCTCTGCATCAGATCCTAGAACTAACTTTCTTTTAACCTTGGCATTATTCGATAATTGACTGTTTTCTTAATGAGGCACTTTCTCAGGACAATCCTGTTCATCGAAAAAAAAGGAATTCTAAAAACAAAGAAAATTTTTGTTTTTTTTTTGTAAGTAAATTTTTGTAAGTAAAGCAAGTAAATGAAAAAAAAAACAGTTCATTGTTTTCTTGGTGAGCAAACATGAGGTTGTTATCGCGGTATTTATTTCTTTACAATTACTGACGTTTCGGTGGTTTTGTTTTCTTCAGGGCCTGGAAAGGTCAATTTGACACGCAATCCACTCAACCAAACAGTTCCATAACCCCACCGTATAAACAGCGGTAAATAGAACTTTTGTTCGGGAAGCGTTTTGACCTCAATGTCTTTCTTGGTATGGACTATTCAGGTCAAGGTTAAGTGAATTTCGGTGGGGTACAGTAATAATAGGTAAACCAAAGAGCAAAAATTAAAAACAAACAAAAATTAAACAATGATACATTTATACGTTCTTGCGAACTGCCCTTGTTCAGCTGATGCGAAGTTGGTATAAGTTGTCGTTGATGAAGATGAATAAAGATACTGAGGTATTTGCAACATACACAACGATGGTGTGGTGGTGAACGCGTGAGCCCCCGGAAAGGGTGATAGCGTGTTCGACTCCCAGCTCTGACAGCTGCGTTCCAGTATGCAAATATTTCCGCATCATTGTAATTGTACAATCTTGTGCTTGCTCATCAAGAAAGCAGCAAGTTATTTTCCTTACATTCATTCATTTTACTAAACGACGTGAAAGTTTTTCGCCGTTTTTGATAAACAGCGGTTGTCTCGCAAAAGCTGTGACAAAAAAGGAATGAGGAATAAGAATGAAGCGAAAAAGGCTGATGGACCTGAAAAATCATTATGTCGAAAAATTCCTCGTAATCTAATCAGTTTTCAGCCAATTTATAGAAACGAAAGACTTTCTTCTCAGTTGCACAGCGAATTCCAGTTGCTAGCGAATCGCCTTAGTAATAACATTTAACATGATTTTTGATCGGGCTTCCAATTGTTTGCCGATACCCATTTATTGTCGCAACTGATGCTTATCAGCAACTGATAAGAGTCTGCTTACCGGTTTATTTCGTAAGCTAAAGAGCTTGGTATATAACTGCTATTCACGTGAAATTTTTCGGCCGCGAATAAGAAATTCGATGAACTAATTAGAAAGTTCGCCACTGCAATCAGCATACATCCACCGCCAATCCATCGTGCTCGGTTTCCCTTAAATACGATCTACTGGCCAACGTAAAGTTTTTCATTTCGTTATTTTCCAATATTATGTTCTATAGTACTAAAAAAGGACGAGTGTAGCGCAGCGGTCGGAGGAGCTCTACAACACACACGTGGAATCGATCCCAGCGCCCATGGCCCACTAAGCCTTCTATCTACCCAGGGTCGGCAAATTGGTACCAGACTTGTCCGGGAGGATAGCAGCACTGGCTCGATACATCGGTAGGCCACCACGAGTCATTGTAAAGGACACATATGCACATATGCATATTACCTCCAAGCGATGCTTAGTGAAATCGAATGCATGGCGTATTCCTCAGGGATTGATCAACGCCGAGAGCTTTATCCTCTATCGCTTACAATAATAAAAAATTCAAGAACCAAAAAAAAAGAAAGGGATAGTAGAACCAAAATAGGCCGAATCTTATTTTATTCAGTAAAATTAATTATTAAGCAATATAATTGGGATCTTTTTAAAATGTGCCACAGTTATGCTGCGGCACTTATTTTTATGAAAAGTTATTCTACTTAAAAATTGGATTTCTCGTCGAATGTAGTAGACACACCGTAAACTTATGCACTTAATTTACTTACTTACTGGGTTCGAAATTTTGCTGGTTTAGCCATTGTGGTTCCCTGGAGTCCCGAGGTCAACTTGGCGAAAGTCTACTCCGGGACGTCACCACCACAGTCAGATTGTGGATCAGAGGGAGATTTTCCACCATGCGACCAGTTTGATACTTAGACGGTGGTGGATCCTGGTATTCGTTCACTCTAACCTGGAATTCCTGATGGAAGCGTCGGGCTCTTTTTCAGCTTAAGAGATCCTGCTGGGGAACGAATCACCCTGTGGTATACCGCAGCCCGACACCCAGGAACTCCTCCCAGCCACGATGAGAAAGTGAGCCGTTGGAAGATCGCTTATTTTGCAAAATCAAGACTGGTAGGGGTTTAGTTGTAGAAACGCTGTCCTAGCTTATTCGCTTCTTATGTTCTACTCCACAAAATCTAAGCGATAAAGAATTAAGCGTTTAGCGTTCATCAGCACCGTGCGGAAATGCTATGCATTCTATTTCATCTATAGCATCATAGAATGCACATCATACATATCACAATCATAACATGCCGTGCATAGGTGAATACACATCTAGCCAATACCAAATAAAATTAATAGTAATTAGAGTGGTCTACCAATATATAAACTCAGAACTAGACTGTTACATTCCAAGATCATGGAGGGGGGACATTGTCAGTCCTGAAGAGATGTAGGGCTTGGTTAGCCCTGGGGCGCTGTCGGAACAACGAGCAAGACCGTAGTGAAGGACTCCTCTAACTACTGCGCTATACGCAACTCTCTCACAGATTTGTCAGCTAACTTTTCTTTTGTAATGTTTCTGGATGTTTTTACAGCTTGTTAAAGAGTGTATAAAAGTTTCTTACCTTACCACCAAAATAACTGGTGAATATAACAATCGGTATATATGCAAAATCACCGGCTGACACCATAGTTCCGCTTAAACGTGAAGGAATTTGAAACTGCTTCTCGATATAAACGACAGCACTAAAAATAAGAAAAGCAAAATGTTCGTTTTTTAAGCAATTTTTTGCGCTGTATTTTTTCATAGAATGACAGTTTTAAAAACTAACAAGTGGGCACCTTTCAATGGTTTATCGCCCCATCGTGGCTGGGAGGGGTTCCTTGGTGTCGAACTGCGATGCAACGCGGGGATTCATTCTCTAGCAGGGTCTCCCAACCTGAGAAGGAGTCCGACGTTTTCACCAAGAAGCCATGGAACCACAATGGCTTAACTATCAATTCTCCGAAAATGGGGATTATGCTGGGGCACGCACAACCAGTGAGGACGGGCCACTCACGTATCAGGTATCAAGTAATAGGTAGACCAATCAGTTATTGTTGGAATGCTGGCCTTAAAAGATTTTTCGAACTTTCCACCCATAACTGGTAAGCCATAACAATGCATGTTTTTACTATGAGCGATTTACATATGTATTACCTAAGTATATGAGATGGACAAAAATTAGAGCAGTTTCGCCTTGCAGTTACATTTTGTCGTTACATTCCCAAACACTGATGCTTCACTTCAAGCGAGTTTTTAGTCTTGCTACTGCTACATTTTGGGAACGGAAAAGATTATGAGGTGAGAATTTCGCCGATAGTGAAGGTGATCACTTGAGAACGTTATTGGATATAAATCAGCAGAAAATGTTTCTAGAGCTTGCAGAAGAACCAGGAGTAAGTAAGTAAAATATCGGTGTAGAGATCGCCTTACCAAATCAAATTGTTCCAGTTTGATATCACCTCACATTACACACTGTGTAGGTTCTAACATTTTTCCCATTCGGTAGGTTATCTCACATCTCTCATTTAAGAAATTCCTCAGATATTTGCCTCCGTTCAACTGTCGCTTGAGGATTCTGTTTTCTTCATGAATGTCGTTAGATTCTGATCCATTGATTCTTCATGGGATGATAGCCTTACTGCACCGTTCCAATATCCTAGCTATAGGTAGACGCTCACCTTTGGTGGAGACTCTTTTCAGATGGGAAATTTCTAATCCTGAAGTGAAAGAAAGGACTGCAGGCTTTGTTGGCTTAGAGCGGAGCTTGGCTGTGTTGCACGAATTCCTGACTATTACGCCGCCCAAGTTTTAGAGGAATTACAAATGAAACACATGGATGCTACATAGTTTAGATAAAATAGAGTAGAAAGTTGCTATAAAATTTGTTTCGTACATTTTTGAGCAACGGAAGCAAGCTGTTTCTTAAATGGATTGAGATATCTAAGTGGTAGTGAAACTAGGTGAGCGATAATCGACGACTATTCATGCAGCTCTCGACGAGGAGGAAACGTCGAAACACTTTTAGAAGTCGTATTTTCATTATTAAACGATTCTAGCAAATCGGTTTCACGACAACGTCTGTCCAAATATCGTCACAATCATCAACCACAAAACGAATATCTTTAGGGCGGTTTTCCTCATTCGGTACTTACCAGACCTCTTGTAATCTCACACTGACACGTTTACAACAACATCTGCAAATACTTGTTCAAAAAAAAATCCATAGCCACAAAGCAGTCAGTGGGAATTGCTTCCAAAAATTCTTGAGTTCGAAGAGCTTCGAATTTTGCTATCACGAATGAATGTTATCCCAGTAGGGAAAATTGTTGATTCCAATAGCTTTTCTTTGGTTTGACGAAATCTATTCTTATCTAAGACAACTGTGGCTGATTGAGTTTAAATGTTCAAGATCGATAGCACTTTTCGAACACTAGTAATAAATCATGTAGAAAAGTGTTACAAGACGTCCATTTCAGCCTAATATTATTACATACACTAGCAATTTTCATATCTACTTTGTGGATTTCAGCAGTTCATGCATTCGATTGGTCCTTCGCGTCCAGCAGGCCCGAAATTCTTCGAACTTTTCGAATGTTTGCTCCGCAGCTGCGTGAAATTGTCGTCTTCTTCGTTGACTGTTGGTGGAGTCGATTTTTCCTGGAGCTCTGAGATATCCCGGCTAAAGCGTTATGACATGGATTATAGGAATGAGGTCCCAGAAAAGTTTCGTAGCAATCGTCCATCTTCACAGTGACGAGAGGCTTGATGGACCCGTGGCGGGAACGATCCAGGGCATGGCTGGGTTGGGTCGTCCACTAATGGATGAGATCACTACCACTGGAATACCTGCTCCTTCCAACTTATTCTTAGAATTAAATGCTCTCGCTTGGAAGCTAAATACAAACCGTTATCAGGTCTTATCAATACAATCGTTTGTCGAAACCACAAACAACTTTTCCTTGGTGCCGTTTTTTAAAATCCTGTCCTAACTAGTAGAAGACACAAGATATGGTCAAGATCACTACCTAATTTTGGGTTCATAAGGTTGCTGTGATGATACGATACTGACAAACCACACAAAATCAATAAGCGGATAGATACCGAAGAGCAAATCGATTACCACGAAGTTCTCATTGCCAAGTATAATGTCAGATAATTTTAGAAAGTCGTTTGCAAGAAAGAGACGTTGGTTACCTCGTCATATAAAAGCCTCCAATCGATTCCAAAAAATATACGGTACCAAACACCACGAAAAAACACGCTATCTGGAAAAATAAAGATTTCGTTATCTATTTAGTGGCTTATTCATAGCCACACTAGTATTCTTATTTCTTCCTTGTTAAAGAAAATCGGCAAGAAATTTTCTCCAAGCAAATTCATCGACAGTGTGAAATATGCCGAGAGACAGGCGAAACGAAGGACACGCATGGTGTGGTGGTGAACACATTAGCCACCAGAAAGGGTAATAGCGTGTTCATTCGCCACCGCAGACACCTGTGATCCGAGGTTTTGCGAATATCTCAGCGTCGTTGTGGTTGTACAGTGTGAAAATTTTATAACTGATAAAAAGACAGCGGAAACTGAGAGCGATACTATGCAGAGCAATGCAGACAGGATGAAAATGCTGGAGATGTTAAGAAGACGGACACTGCTGTTCGATAGCAGTTCGACGTCCAAAAACATGTCATTGTGGTACTGATGCACAGGTGAAGTGCTGTGAAGTACTGGATGTGTGAAGAAAGGACAAGACAATATTTGCAGAATCTCTTGTTCTTCTGTCGAGGAAAAACAAGGGAGAAAGTGAGAACGAATATTTCAAAAACTTAGCGACAAGCTTTTTCTTAGTACAAGGGCTAGATTGGAAGCAAATCTTTTTAAAGCTTATCATTTCTAGCTGAAAACAATACACAACAATACAATGAAAGCAGAAAACATAGAAAATATTCATGTCCAATAGATTATTATAAAATCGATTGATGAATGATCGATTGATTCGATCTTTCGTGAGCTTTCAGATTATCTAGAGCACAAAAAAATAATAGGAAATGCAAATGTGAAAAAACTTACCTTATGCTCGATTGCCATGATGCGACTGATGTCGGCTCGGAAAATGCTATTGTACTAGTAATATTCTTGTTGTTAAGTTGAATAAGAATTCGATGGAGTACTTGGTGCGCACAAGGCGTGTTGTTTGTGACGAAGTGCTTATCAGTACAGGCAATGACGATAGGATACTGAGGTCACAAAACAATAGTTTTGTCCTGTGTTAGTCATTGAAGGTCCAGGATAAAAAAGTGTAATCGACAACTAGTACAGATTTCCTTCCGCATGTTTGTAGCAATAAGAGGATCAAGACAAATGTCCGAGGCACGTAGTATTCACCGAGATCCGATTGGAGCCTTGTCAGAGTCTTCATATAAGACATCCTTGCTCGAACGAAAGTCATCATATTCTTCATCTATGGCTTTCGTGAAAAAATTTTATCATTCGATGAGTAATCAATCATCTTGGTTTGCGTCTCCGACCAACAAGTCTTGTTGCGGCTTCCTTGACCTGACGGATCCTTTCAAGCAGCCAATGCACCAAAATTTGCTGCGGCGTTGAGCTCCTAATCTTATAAGAATAGCAAGTCGTTGTGAAATTTAGTCCTTGTAGCTGCCACGCGGGTCTCTTTTGTGTGTAAATCGCTGAGTCGAACGCTGGGTTGCAACTTTATGGTTGAAGTAACGACAACAATAGTAACAGTACAGCCAAGTATATGAAAGAGTTGGGCGATATAAAGGGACTGGATGAACACTAGACGAACGCTATGAACACTTGAAGACGAAAGGCCCTCCGGCTGTCTTCATTACTTCTGTAGTGGGTGGAGCTTTGCCAGAGGGAACTAAAGGCAGCGCCTAGAGAGAGGTTTTAAAGGTTTTCCTACTAGCGCAATCTGATAAAGATACATGTGAAAGGGCGCAGCTACTCGTTCGGAAACTTATTTAGGACGGGAGATGCTAGTACGTTCAGCTGACTGCTGCTGATTTAGTGCCCGAACTTTCAAACAAAGAAGAGCAGTTTATTGGAAGAAGTTATAGAATTCCTTTCCAGCCACCTTCGAGGCAGCTGCATGAGATAATGGCTAAGAGGCAGTTTAGAGAAGATGCGAAGATAGATTTAAGATGGTTACAGGTGAACAAGAAACATACACTAATATAGAAAATAGGAACTATTTGATTTGAGTTTCTATACGTCTGGTGTTCAACCTCACAAGCCTTTGTGATAACATTACCGATTTATAAGTTTTGTTCTTGTACAACTGTTCTTGCTGGTTTTACAGGTACTACTTACTTCTCATTTTAACGACAAATGCGCATGGAGCGTAGTGATTAGAGGTACGCTGCCCCAGACGCGGGTTCTTTGGGTCGATCCTGCGTCCTTTTGTTTATGAAACCTTAGTATCACCAGGGATGACCAAAATGGTGGCAGAGTTCTCTAAGAGAATAAAAACGCTGACTTAGTGCATCAGTAGACTACCGTTACGTCAGTCATCAGTAACCAGATATGGATTCAACCATTTCAAACAATGCATGATGAACTTGTATGAACGGCACATCCTTCGGGAATTGATCAGTGCTGAGAACTCTTGAATGAGTCAGAACTGAGAATCTTTTGTCTTTTATCCGGGAATAGCATTTGAAAGGCAATGCTAAAATTTTTATGATGAGTGGAGATATTACAATTACTTGCCACCATGTTATTATGATCTTACTGAGATATGCTAATCATCAAATAAAACGAGGTATTACCACAATGATGCTAAGGTATTTGCAAAGCTACGGACAGTAGGTGACTGGGGTGGAGAACCAACGAGCTATTACCCTTTCTTGGAGCTAACGCATTCACCACCACACCATGCGGGTCCTTTGTTTCGACTATCAGATAATACATTGCCTTGAAAATTTGTAGTTGGCAGCGAATAAAAAGTTAACAAAACGAGGTATCATTTGAAGCTGTCAGGTAGGATTAGTAGGATGATTTCTGTCCGCTCCATCAGTTTACAAAAGTAAGCAGACGTAGACGTTGGAACTATTGGACCTTAAAGCGGAAATGAGTTACTTTCCGTTTGGTCTATTTACGAAGTGAAATTTCGTCTTGAAGATACCTTGAAGGTGGTCTAGCTCTCACCACTTTTTACAGCTTTATAAACTGCTATTGTGCGAACTTCTACTCATAAAAGAGCAACTCAGACGTGTTTTGCTATATTTAGTTATAGGTAGCTTGGTTTTTTCCTCAACACCAGAGGTGCTGAACATATTCTAGAAACAAACCTGTTTCAGAAACTCTCACTGTCTTAGCTTTTCCCGATTTCTCACACGTAGAAGAACCGTCAACATTTTCAGTCTAATCTTCCAGGTTATTATAGAAGGCAATTCGTAACTTTGACGAATGGGTTTACTGAGAGACGTGCACTATGTCGAGCAAAAAAAAAAGAATTAAAATTGTCTACCTGTTCTTTATCGGCCGATAAATCGGCTAGAAGTCACAGAACAGTAGATTTACTCCTATAATCACTAACAACATGGAACCTATTGTGAAGTTTACATCAACATTGAAAACTTCAGTTATATGATAATCACATCGAGTGACCATGCCGCATCGTTAAGGAGGTTAATTGTAAAAGTTGTTAAATGGGAAATCGGCCGACCGTCACACTACGTTCGGCTGCTGGCATTGATCATGTAAAGAAGGTAAATCGCTAGATGTTATTTCTGTGTGAACAATGAGGAACAAGAGCGTAGATGACCTTGTGATGATTACCAAGTTGACGGATGTCAGAAGTTTTGTGAATGCATCAACTTAGTGGGCTGTTTGGTTACCGGGAAAATAAAATATAAACGTGAAGAGAAAGAATAATAGGAAATGGGAGACGAAAAAAAGGTAGGAAAAGAAGAAAAAAAAGGATAAGAAAGATAGAACGAGAGAGTGAAAATGACATCCACACTAATCACGTCCCTCCTTTGTAGGAGTAGTGTGACTTCAGTGTTAAGGAAATCGCTATTATTTTTCCTTTGTTGACGACATCTATATTTTCAGACTAAGTGTAAAAAATGTAAATCTAATGGAAAAGCTTTGCCAATTAATGACAAAAAGATAAGCACTGGGTTCGTTGCAATATCTTTCATTCGTTTCATCCCGATTTCTTTTCGGCGAACGTCACGAGATTTATAAATGTCTCAAGCAATCTCTAAATACTTAGGAACTTTTCACTCCTACATAGTTGGACATTTTTGGAAAAGTAATTATCCAAGGCGATTATGCAAATATTGATGGCACTGTCAGGGGAAAAAATTTGGCTGAGGGATAGACAGACCAAGAGATACTCAGAAAGGGTGGTCAAGGTTCGAAGCCCTCCTAAGATCATGAATTTTTAATGTATCTCGCAATCCTTCTGGTCGTGCAAATCAATGAATAGTAATCTCTATCTGTTGGCTTAAAGTGTTGTACTTCTGTTGACTGCCACGGAATTTAGTTCTATCGAACGCCCGAGGTAACCGAGTCTTCCATCTCTCAAAATCGGAAAATTGTTAAGAGACTTGTATACGGGAATAAAAACATGGCTGGGTGCATTGATATTGCATTGGATAACCAACATAAGTTACTGTATATGTAAGATATGTAGTGAACCATTCCTACAATGCTACGAATGGAATTGGATGAGTGGCACACCCCAGGGAGTCTGACTGCTTCCTAAAAATTCATTTGTTAACTGCTTTCGGTCATGCTTATGTCATTTATATCAGATCTCCTGCTTCAACATTGTTGCACAAATTCACATGTGAGACCCAGCATAATTTCCACTGTTTAGGAGTTTTACTGGTTTAGCTATTGTGGTTCCCTGGAGTCCCGAAGAAGCCTATCCAAAGTCCTCTAAGAGTCGAAACTACCACAGGCAGTCGCAGCCTTTCTGGATCAGAGTTAGATTGGTCACTACGGAACTAGTTTGATAACAGGACGGCGTATCACTGTACCAACGATGATACGATATGAGCGTACTACACCTATATATATGTATATATATATACATACATAGATATATATAGATGTATATATATATATATATATATATATATATATATATGGACACCATACATACAGACACATACATACATACATTCATACCTACATACATACATACAAACATTCACACATACACAAA